CTCAACAATAAATGCGCAGTTTGAGGCAGAACCAAATACGAGCAGTCGAAATCAGAAAACAACTAAAAAGTACTCAGGGAGTGCATACCGCCGCCAAACATCTCTGTCACTAAAAAAAAAAAACTGAAAAATATGACAACAAAGCATATACCATGACAACTGTTTTTAATAACAAGGGAGATGATCATGTTAGCGTTTCACACAAGTATTAAGAACGACCTGATAATTTGATGTTCTTAAATAGTATCAAAATGTTGTATCTCACCGATTTCGATTTTACTAATAAAATCGAAAAACAATTCCTGAATCCACCAGGACATATTTCTTGGCACATGGTCTACCTTCCTAAATATAAGTAGACTAAAATAGAAAAAATTTAGAGTGTTCTCAAAGAGCGTATTACTACGCGACTGCTATTGTTACGAAACACTGAAAAATATAGTAACAAAGCATATACCGTGACAAAAGGTTCTAATAAAAAGGAATTTATTTATTCAGTATAACCTTACTTGATAATTTTGAATTTTTAACTAAATAGCAGGAAATAAAATAAAATTCTCGTACTGTAAAAATCGAAAAAAACCTTCCTGAATCTACCAAAATTTATTTCTTGTCTCATTTTTTTTAATCATTTCACCCCAAACAAAGCAGGAATGCCACTAGTACGCAGAGAGGTTAAAGAGAGTGAAGGTGAAAGAAAATACTGGGTATAGTGTGGGGACGAGGAAAAGATAAAAGCTGAACAGAGTTCAAGAAGATAGAAGATGGCGATTGACGTTGCATTTAAATTTCTGAGGATTCTAGTAATCAGGGAAGCAAGGAAATAGAAGAGAGTTCCACAGGTGGGAAGTGCGAGAAAAGAAACTGTTGAAGTAGAAGTGGCGGTTACATTTACCTAATTCAACACTAAATGTGTGGGACCTAGTTGCCAATCTAGTATAGCACGCTTACACTTGCGTAGTCCGGGCACCAGGGAAAAAGCTCGTCAGAGCAGTAGCCATGAAAATATTTGTAGAAAACACAGAGGCAAGCCACGTCACGTTTGTGAGAAAGTAAGTGAAGTCGAGATGCCAAATCAGAATATATTATATTGCAGACCTTTCTTTGGATTTTGTCAAGAACCTCAAGGTGAGTAGCAGAAACACCTGACCAGATATAGCAACGGTATTTAATACAAGGATGAATGGTAGATTTGTAAATGTGCAAGATGGACTCTGAGAAGAAAAACCTTTTGGCACGACACAGTGACCCAAGTTTCCTTGCAGTAGATGCATCTATTGATTCGATGTAGTCGTTCCACTTCAAGTCACTTGAAAAGTTGAGATCAAGAAGGTGCAGTGTTCTTCTCTTCTTGAGCCTAGCCACAGCCATGCTGATGGTTCGCAAGAAAGTTTCTCTATGGTGGTTTAATGAACGCAGTTTCGTTTTGGAGGCATTAAAATTTACGTGTGAAGATCTAGAAGCTAGTGCGATTAAATCGACATTCTGTTCACGATTTGATAGGATCGATTGGATTAAATCAATCAAACGTGTAGTAATACCGTAGCTCTAGAGCTTGCGTAGAAGACTAGCATGCCAAACCCTGTCAAACGCCTTCGAAATATCTAGAGCCACAGCTTGAGCCTCCCCGTTATTATCAAGAGCTTGATATACATATTCAGTGATGGCCGTTAGCACATCAGCGGTAGACCTGGAAAAACGGAAGCCATATTGTTTGTCAGCAAATAGGTTGTGAGAGATAAGATGTTTAACCACTTCAACATTAATTAAAGCCTCGAATACTTTCCCGAAAATCGGTCGGAGACTATCAGGGCGATAGAGGGGTCAGAAAGTTCTCCATAGTTCTGAAAAACAGAAGATACAGAGGAGGGCTTCCAACGAACAGGAAATCAGAAAGCAGCAAGACAATAGTTGTAGAGTATGGAAAGAACTGGGGTCAGCTCGGGAGCACATTTCTTTAGGACGACGGCTGGGTTCCCGTCACCCCCGCTTGCCTTATGGTAGTCTAATTTAGAAATAATTTCTGCGACCTGTGACGGGGTTATGCACATATCACTCATTAGAGCCTCTGTTCTAGGAGGGCAATCAAAATGTGGGTACTCCAACTGAGTCGAGTTTTGTATTGGAAGTGAATTTCCGAGCAAAGTATTTAGCCGTATCTGCTGTAGATGTCAAGACTTCGAATTGATAGAATAGAGGAAGGATTGAGGACTTAATGTTGTTCAGCACACTCTTGCAGAGCCGACAATAATCTCTTGAACCAAACTTGCGAGATGCTATACTTAGTTTCATTTTATCAGCAAACACTTCGCTTCTTTGATGACACGATTGCACTCGTTACGGCAGAGACAAAGAGACGTCAGTTGCAATCAGACGGAAGAAGTGATTCCTGTGGGCTATAGCGGCCGCGCATCCAGATAAGAACCAATGAGGTGAGTGCGGTTCAACTTGAGCATTTACTTGCTGGAAGGAAAGAATCGATGCCGGCTTTCACCCAGGA